TAAGCAATATCAGTGGCAAGTTTTAGCAGTATCTACTGACTGCCCGCTACCAGCACATGGGAGAGTAGGTGGAGTGATTAGGAGAGCTTCGTCTGGATTCAAACCCTGGCTCCTAGCGTCTCTGAGTGCGTGGACATGTAAGTCACTGGGCAAGTTATGTAACCTCTCAGTACCTCAATGTCCTCTGCTTAGAGAATGGGGATCAGGCTAGTAGCTATAGCTTAAAACATTCAACAAACATATTCACTAAGCACTTAGTACCTGTCAGGTGCTGAAGATACAACAGTGAACAAAAGCAGATGAGGTCCCCATCTCGTGGAGCTTAAACGGGGCAGGAGGGGGCAGATAAACACATAAACAAATACAAACAAATACAGGTCAGACGACGACAAGAACAGAAATAAGGCACTTTAAGGAGACAACCATTACAGGCAGAGTAGTAAGGACCTGAAGGAGGAGAGGGAGAGGGTCACATGGATACTACAGGGACAAGCGTTCCAGGCAGAAGGAACAGCAGATGCAGAGACCTAAGATGGGAATGCGTTTCACATGCTCAAGAAGCAAAGATGGCCGGGCGCGGTGGCTCAAGCCTGTAATCCCAGCACTTTGGGAGGCCGAGGCGGGTGGATCACGAGGTCAAGAGATCAAGACCATCCTGGTCAACACGGTGAAACCCCGTCTCTACTAAAAATACAAAAAATCAGCTGGGCATGGTGGTGCGTGCCTGTAATCCCAGCTACTCAGGAGGCTGAGGCAGGAGAATTGCCTGAACCCAGGAGGCGGAGGTTGCGGTGAGCCGAGATCGCGCCATTGCACTCCAGCCTGGGTAACAAGAGTGAAACTCCGTCTCAAAAAAAAAAAAAAAAAAAAAAAAAAAAAAAAAAAAAAAAGAAGCAAAGACCTGGCCAGGGGAGGTGGCCCATGCCTGTAATCTTAGCACTTAGGAAGGCCAAGCTGGGACGACAGCTTGAGTTAAAGAGCTCAGGACCAGCCCGGGCAATATAATGAGACCTCATCTCCATTCGTTTTTAAATTTTTATATTCATTAGAAAAGAAAAGGCTGGGCGAAGTGGCTCCTGCCTATAGTCCTAGCACTTTGGGAGGCCAATAGGGGTGGATCACTTGAGCTCAGGAGTTTGAGACAAGCCTGGGGAACACGGCGAAACCCTGTCTCTACAAAAAAAAAAAAAAATATACAAAAATTAGCCAGGCGTAGAAGGGCATCTGTAGCCCCAGCTAATCAGGGGACTGAGGTGGGAGGATCACCTGAGCTTGGGAGGTTGGGGCTGTGGTGAGCTGTGATTGTGCCACTGCACTCCAGCCTGGGTGACAGTGTGAGACCCTATCTCAAAAAAAAAAAAAAAAAAAGAAGCCAAGACTGGTGCAGCTGGAGGAGTCTGAGCGGGGCAGGTGGCAGGAGGCCAGGTGTCACACTACTTTAAGGGCCTCGTAGACTCTATTGAGTCAGGGGCTGGGATCTGGTTCTGAGCACCATAGGGAGGCGGTAGTGGGAAACACAGGTGAATGGGAGGATTCCCGAGAAACTTAGCATCCGGCAGACGGTGGTGCTGGGTAAGTGTGACATACCCACATTACTTTGTCACCATCCAGTCTAGCACCCCAAGAGCTCCTTCCTCTCCACTTTGTTCGTACATCTTCCAGGCCCTTGAACCCAGTCACCTCCTGCCACCTCTCCACCGTCTCCCGGGCAGGGCCTGAAACCCACAGATCCTAACTTGTCTGCACTCAGCCTGAGAACAGGCCCGGGCCCAGCCAGGCAGGGGCCACAACTCCGCAGACACAGGGAGCTGGGCCTAAGGGATGGCGGGTGGGCCATCTCTGCCCCTTCCAGCCTCCACCCTGCGGGCAGACCTGCAGCCCACCCCCCTTTCCTCCGGGAATGTCCAGGGCGCACTCAAAACCCCGTCCTGTTCCGGCTGCAGGTATGGAATGAGTGTGCCAGTGTCGGGGGACACAGCAGCCGGCTGTGTGGAGGGGAGGGCCGAGGGGCCGCCAGGAAGGGGAGGCTCCTCCAGTTCGCGCTGGCAGCCTCCCCAGCGAGGAAATCCAGCTGAGGCAGGAAACAGGTATCTCAGCGACTTCCCTCCTCAGCCCTGGAAAACACCTTAATCACCACCGAGGCTCCCTCCAGACGCCTGTCCCCTGCAGGGCTGCCCCAAAAAACAGGCCAAGGCCCCAGCAGGAAGCAAAGGGGTCAGCAGGCCAAGGCAAGCCAAGTCACCCAGGCCCAGCCCCCTCCTCCAGCAAGCCTTCCCACCTCCGACAGCTGAAATTACACCCACACTTAATCACAGACCAGCTTCCTGAAGTACTGTCTCCCATCCCCAGGAGGTCTTCAGCTCCCTAAGGCCCATCTTACCCTGCTCCTGTGCCCCACCCTTCCCCACCCACCACGGCTCCAGACCTAACTGAAGGGCAGAGGAAGAGGGCAGCAGGCAAGAGGGGCCCAAGGCTTGCTGGGACCCTGGGCTAGGAATCGATCTTATTTCCGACTTGCAACAAACTCCTCAGCCCCATTTTACAGATGTGAAAACTAAGGCTCAGAGAGAGGAACTTGCCCAAGATCACACAGTCAGAAACGGCAGCCCTGAGACTCAAACCTGGGTCTGTAAGACTTCACGGGCAGGCCAGGCATGGTGATTCATGCCTGTAATCCCAACACTTTGGGAGACCCAGGCAAGAGGATCACTTGAAGCCAGGTGTCTGATACCAGCCTGGGCAACAAAGTGAGACACCCTCTTTACAAAATAAAAAACTTTTTTTTTTTTTGAGACAGAGTCTCACTCTGTCGCCAGGTGCTAGGCTGGAGTGCAGTAGCACAATCTCGGCTCACTGCAACCTCCGCCTCCCAGGTTCAAGCAATTCTCCTGCCTCAGCCCCCTGAGTAGCTGGGACTACAGGCGCACGCCACCATGCCCAGCTAATTTTTGTATATTTAGTAGAGACGGGGTTTCACCATGTTGGCCAGGATGGTCTCAATCTCTTGACTTCGTGATCTGCCCGCCTCGGCCTCCCAAAGTGCTGGGGTTACAAGCTTGAGCCACCGCGCCCAGTCACAAAATGAAAAACTTTTTACAAAGACTTTTATAAAGAGGGGCCAAGCTCTTTCCAGCCCAACACCAGCAGCCTTGGGTGGGACAGCCACCCTCCGGGTGTTGCTGAGAAGGCTCTCTAATCCCACAGGATTGGAGCTGCCTGTTTATTTGTCTAAATCGCAGCCCACCAGCCTGTGAATTCTGGAAATCACAGACAGTGCCTGTCCTTGCTGGTCCACACCACCCCACCCCCAGCACCTCGCCAGGTTCACTGGCACACAGTAGGTTCATGACAAATATCTGCCCAAAGAATGAACCCCTGTATTCCCGGTGACTGCCACGGAATGTCACTCAGTGATATCTGTTGAATGAACAAGTGAATGCCATGATCCGCCTTGGTCCGGGCATTTCTGTGGAAATTCCTCAGGCACACAGCAAACAACTCCACCCACTGCCATCCTATCTCGGGGACATGGAGGAGCCCCTCATCAGGGGGCAGAGCTGGGGGAAGGTCAGGAAAGACTGCTGGGCCTCAGAAGACATCCCATGTGCTAGGTTGGTGCCTTAGGAAAAGCAGAAGTCAGCGCTGGGAGTGCAAGTTCAGGTCAAGACTAGGGAGCAACTGGATGGCCCTGCTGAATGTTTTGGGGTGAGAGGCTGAAACAGGACGACAGAGGAGGCTGCCCAGAGTCGGGGAGGAGAGGTGCTGGGTGGGTGGGGCAAGAGTGGTGAGGAGCCAGGTCTGGGTGGGGGTTTGACGAGTGACTCAGGAGGGGAGAGGTGAGATGAAGCCAGCAAGGTGAGGCCAGGCAGGCAGTCCCTGGGTAAACACCAGCCTGGTTAATAAAGTCCTTCTCTTGGCTCAGAGAACGGGGGGCAGGCATGGGGACTGCCTAGGAGCACCTCAAAGAGGGTGGGAGTGGCTCTGTGGCTCACCAAGGTAGGCTCCCCAGATGTGCCCCCACCCACATCTGGCACTAGCTCCCTGCCCACTGACCCGACCAGTCCTCCTCAAGTTCACTCAGGTCCTCAGGGCCTCTGCTGGCCAACTGCCTTCTAAGCCTCGGGATTCCTGACCCTAGAATTCGCTTTTCCTCGAAATGGGTCCACCTAAGCTCAGTGTAGGGGACTAGACTGCAAGGGAAGGCCTATCCCTGCCCCTTGCAGCCCTGCGAAGAGGAAAGCTGGGGAACTCGGGTCCCCCGTGTCTACCGTATCCTGTACCACGCACTCTGCAGCTCATTCCACCCAGTCCAGTAACGCCCTGCAGCTATGCATTTTGAGGTCGTGCATTTGGAGTTCCCTTGACCCACGTGGGGCTGGCCTCCAAGAGGTTAACTAGCTTGCCCGAGGTCACACAGTTACTCAGTGAAGGCCAGGGACTGATTAAACTCCTGCGATGTATGACTGCAAGGCCCGTGGGTGTTCCCCACAAGCTTCAATTCTGTCCCAAAAGTTTTGCTTCTGCTTACCTGGGTCCAAGCTCCCCAAGGTGATAGATGGCGTGGTAAAGTTTCAGCGAGACTCATAGGGTCCCCATCACCACTGAGTCGCCCTTCTGCCCAGTTGGCGCAGAAGGTTAGCCTCGTCCTGCCAAGTTCCCACCCTGCTCAAAGTTTCCCCCCTCCTGGTCCCCAGGAATGGTAGGCCGGGTCATGCCCAGCGCGACTCCGGCACTCGGCAACGTGGCCAAGGGACCCACAGGCTTCCACGCGGGCCAGCCCCGCCCCGACCCCACGCAGGATCCCGACGGGTGCCCCCCACCCGGATTAACTCCATGCGGCAGGGTGGCGCCGGCCCGGGGTCCCCGGCGGGCGCCGCCGGCCCGGGCCAGAGTCCCAGCAGCGCAGCCTTGCGTGCCCCAGCCAAGTTGGCGGGCGCTGCGAGCGGGACCCGGGCGCCCCCAGCCTCGCCGCCCCCAGAGCCTCTGCCCAGCACACTCACCGCGAGCAGCCGCCCCTGCAGCAGTAGCGCCAGCAGCAGCGCGCTCGCCGCCCGCCGCCCCATGGCCCGGCCCGCGCAGCTCTCTGGCTCGCTCACTCCGTGCCGCCCGCAGCCGCCCGCTCGCCGGCCAGCAAAGTCTTCTGGACAGCGCGGCCCGCTCCCCGCCGCCCCCTCTCCTCCCCTCCCGCCCCGCCCCCGCGGGGCCGGCCCCGCCCCAGGACCGCCCCGCCCCGGAGCTCCAGGCCCCGCCCCCAGACCGCCCCCGGGCCGCGGGCTCCGCTCGCCCCAGCCAGCCGCGCAGCCCACTGGGCCTTTGTCTGGGTCCCCAGCCCCCTCCGCACGGGCCGCGGCCCAAACCGGCTCCCCGCCAAACCCGGCCTGGAGTGTGGGATGGGACGGGGCAGGGGGCGGGGAGCTGGGGGCTAGGGGCCCGGGCGCGGGGTGGGGCCTGCGGGCCAGAAGCCCTCGCCTCTGCGCTCCCCTGCGCTCCCCCGCGCGCCCCGCACGGCCACCTCCACTGTGTAGCTTTTTCGGACCCCAGGATCTCCCTCCCACACTCGCAGCATGCAGCTGCCACTCCTCGCCAAACGCGCACGCCAACTTCCACTCCCAAGAGCACCTTCGCATCATAACTTTCCTGCGCGAACGCACTCGTGCACTACCCTCCGGGCACACATTCACACTCTTGCACCCAACTCGCTGGTACGAACAATCCTCACCGGCTCACGCGCACCTGACTCGCTTCCAAACTCCCACCTCCACCGGGGACGCAGGGGACAGCCCTCACACCGCACTCAGCCGCTCACAGGCTTGTTCCCATGTCACACGGACTCACATATTCATCCCAACAAGTCACGGAGCAGGAGGACGCCTTTTCACACAGATTCCTCGCAGGCACGCACATTTCACACCCAGGCCCACGCTTGCACGCTTACCAGCCTGTTCTCAACCCACTAATCCCAGTGCCTCACAGTGGGCACTGGGTACTACTGAGCTGCCCGCCCCACCTGCACCATTTTAAATGTAAATCACCCACACACCAATTTTGAGTCACGTAAATCACAGCCCCAGAGCCAGAATCACACCAACTCACACACCCAGGCCCAGACACAGACAGACCCTGCCAAAGCCCCATCACAGATGCTCGGGTGGGTGGTAACATCACAGCCCCATGATCTGTCTCAGACCCAGCTGACCCAGCCACAGGCAGCAACCACCACCAAGCCCGGGGCCTCTCCACTACCTACTCCCAGCTCCCCTCCTCTGCCTGAAAGTTCCAGGGCAGCCCCAGGCTGGGGTGGAAAGGAAAACTGTGTGTGTGTAGCTTTGAGGAAAACCTTTTGAGTAACGATAGAGGAGGAGAATAAAACTAGTTTCCATTGTTTCCTGCGAGAGTTGCTAGGTTCCAGAGACTCGGGGCTGGGTTTGCCGCCAGGAGTGAGCTGTGGACAGAAGGAAATGGCCAGCTCACCGGGCGGCACCAGGCCTGGCTCCGGAAGCTGTGTTCCCTGTGATAGGGGCCCGCAGGCTCCCAGACACATTGAGGCCTCCCATCCAGGCACCTGGGGGATTGAGAAAACTCTGGCATCCTGACCCCCATCCCAGATAGATGCTCTATCTCCAAAAGACTGGGTGTTTCTCTGCCCTGGGGGACCAGTTCGGAGTCGCAAAGAGCAGAAACTGCATCCACAGTAGTCAGGCCAACTCTCCCGCCCAACCCAGGCTCCAGGCACAGCACTGAATGAGGTCTATCTCTGCTCCACACAGGGAGATAGGGGTGGACAGAGGAGGAACGCCCAATCTTGGCCCTCAGTGAACTCCTAATCTGATAGAGGTGTGGGGAAGAGCGTTCCTGTCCGTGTATTGTTCTCAGTCTGATGGAGAATCCTGCCTCCGCCACCTCACTGCGCAGCGTTGAGCACATTATTCAAATTCCATGTCTTAGTCTCTGCGTGCAGAAAATCAGAATAACGTTAAGACTTCTCTCAGTGCTGTTATGAGAATTGAGATGAATTAATATATTTCTCTTTTTAAAAAACAGCTTTCAGACACATGGTAAGGGCAAAATAAATGGTATCCATTTCCCTTTTTTTCTTTTTCTTTTTTTTTTTTCTTTTTTGAGACAGAGTCTTGCTCTGTTGCCCTGACTGGAGTGCAGTGGCACAATCTCAGCTCACTGCAACCTCCTCCTCACAGTTTCAAGCGATTCTCCTGCCTCACCCTCCCAAGTACCTGAGACCACATGCACCCACCACCACACCTGGCTAATTTTTGTATTTTTAGTAGAGATGGGGTATCAATATGTTGGCCAGGCTGGTCTTGAATTCCTGACCTCATGATCTGCCTGCCTCAGCCTCCCAAAGTGCTGGGATTACAGGTGTGAGCCAACATGCCCAGCGCCATTTCTCTTATTACTATTTCTGGTGTGCTCCCACTCTAAAGAAAGAGACATGACACTGCCCTTGGGGAGCTCAGGGCTGATAGAGGAGCAGCCTCCACACCCACCCCGGGGACCTCCAGTCTGATGGGAGAGTATAGGTTTGCTCTCGGAAACTCCCTGTCTGCTGAGAAAGGCTTCAAAACTTCACTGACTTCAGAGCTGGCAGGTGGCCAGCCCTAGCAGCAGGATTTTTCCAAGGCCTTGCCTGTCCGTGGATTTGTCAGCATCCGTGACAAATCGCATTTCATGAGCTCCCTCAGTGTCTGTTCCCTACCTCAGGCCCTTTAAGTCCCAGAGCTTTAGCTTCTTGGATGATTTGCTCATGAGCAAAGGGAAACAAGCAAGTCTTTGTAGATGTTTGGTCAAGACTAACCCGGAGCTATAAGTCTTGCTTCCTCACAGGGGTTGAGGAAAGAGATGGTAAGGCCGATTAGGGACTGGAAGGAGCAGAGCCGACACACAGAAAGCAGAAAAATATGGCCTGTCGAGAAAGTCTTCCAGGGCGGCTCCAGCAGCGGAGGACTGGTCATCCACCTATTTATTCTGCGTCCTGTCCTTCCCACTGAGGGATTTGGCTGGGTCTGTTTTAGTTTGCAGTCCTCGGTATCTTTAGCAAATGCTCTCAAGCTGCTTTGTCTAGAGTCTGGCTATCTCCTCATATGGCTAAGAAGAGGAGCAGGCGCAAGGCCTTCTGGACTTGGCAAAACCTTGAAGGTGCCCATAATCTCGCTGTACGTACACAGAGTTCAGGGTGCTGGTCACACTCGAGGAGAGAAACAACTCAAGTCTTGCACAAGGTTCCTTGGGCACGGAGAAACTACAAGAGCTTGGATCGGCAGGAACAGCCAAACAGCCTGGCTTCTGAGAATAGGTGTTGGGGGTTCTGGAACCAACAGCTGGAGTCTGTGGCTTATCTGTCCACTCCTCCAAATTCAAGAGGACTCATCTTTTCCTGGCTTGCATTCCCACTCCAAATCTTTTCTCTGCCTGAGAGCTTATCGCTCATGTTAATCACATTCCTTTGTTCATTCATTTATACATTCATTCAGGGCTGCAGTGGACAGTTGGGCAAGTTGTTCACTGAACAAGGGTGTGCAGCCAAGTGGGCAAATAGGAACTGTAATGGGCCCTGTTGTGGGACTGTATCTGCCCAGAATGAATACTTTTTTTTTTTTTTTTGTGAGACAGAGTCTCACTCTGTCGCCCAGACTGGAGTGCAGTGGCAGGATTTCAGCTCACTACAACATCTGCCTCCCAGGTTCAAGCAATTCTCTTACCTCAGCCTCCCAGTGGCTGGGATTACAGGCGTGCGCCACCACGCCTGGCTAATTTTTGTATTTTTAGTAGAGACAGGGTTTCACCACGTTGGCCAGGCTGGTCTGGAACTCCTGACCTCAAGTGATCCACCTGCCTCGGACTCCCAAAGTGCTGGGATTACAGACATGAGCCACAGCACCTGGCCCAGAATGGGTACTTTTTGCTGATGTGAGTGAAGGTGCTATAAGGCTAGCTGCGGCCTACATTCATTCAACAATGACACTAAACACTGCCCACAAGAGTTTCCGTGGAGAAATAAATGCTAACAGAGTAACGGTATGTCCTTGGGTGAAAATGGAGAGTCAGAAATTGATGTGAAAGGGAGTTGAGATGGAGGGGAGGAAACAAGAAGATAGTGCTGGAGAAGGGAGGAAGAGGAGGCAGGGTGTGGGTCTAAGCAGGCAGCAAAATTCCCATGGAGAGGGCGGGGACCCCGTAGGGCCTGGCACGATCTAGCCCTGCCCATCAATCCAGCCACATCCCTTCCCCACCATAGTCTTTGCAGATGCTGTTCCTTCTCAAGTGCTTTTCCCACTTAACGCCCATCCCACTTCACTCTACTCTCCCTTAAGATTCAGTCGCGACCGGACACAGTTGCTGATTCCTGTAATCCCAGCACTTTGGGAGGCCAAGGCGGGTGGATCACAAGGTCAAGAGATTGAGACCATCCTGACCAACATAGTGAAACCCTGTCTCAAAAAGAAAAGACTCCATCTCAAAAAGAAAAAAAAAGAAGATTCGGTCCAAACATCACATTACCATGGAAGCCTTCTCTAACCTCCCCAGCTGGGTTGTGTTCCCCACCACACTTTCCCACAGCACCCCGCCATGCGTCTCTTGTGGCATCTTTGACCATTGTAATTATTTGGAAGATCATTTAATATTATGAGGCATAATGAAGACAGAGGGCATGAAGGTCTTGTTTCTGTCTTGGTCTCAATTATACCCCCTGTGAAGGGCACAGTGTGTGGCACAGAGTTGGCATTTGGATAATTGTTGCTTAAATGAAAGAAGTAAGTGGGTTCAAATGTGGCACACAGTGTAAATGTCCCTGTTCTGGTTTGTGCTTGGAACAAAGACACACTCTGGGGAGTAGGCAAGGGAGGCCACTTTGTTATCCCCCTTTTCCAGCTGAGAAAACCGAGGCCCAGGGGTCAAAGTGGCTTGCCCAGGTCATGCACTCAGTAAGAGGTAGAACCAGGATTCATGTCCATGTCTGTCTGATTCTAGAACTCGCGTTCTCAACCACACCCATTCTGCCTCCCCTTGGGCTGCTCTCCACTCTGGCCTGGCAGGAGTGCGCTCTTCCCAGCTCAGGCAGAAGTGTGAGTCTCCTGAACGTGCCCTTGGACTTGACCCTCCCTCCCCCACTTGCTGT